TGCTGTGCAGATGCATGCAGAAGCAAGAAGACGGTGTTGGATTCATTTATGTCTATGAACATCTCTGGGAGTGAGTGTGTCTGAGTCCCACCCATGACTGTAGGTCAGAGTGAGAGTTGGTGTTCTCTTCCCATGTGGGTCCCAGGGATTGAATTTGGATAGTTCAGGCTTGGTAGCAAACACCTTTACCGGCTGAGTCTCACCTTGTTGGCCTTTCTCTTTGGTCTTTCAGTCACAACTATGGGAAAGTGACTAATGTAGTCCCAATGAAAAAGACTAACAGCACCAACTTTAGCCAGGATGGTGAGTGGCTGGGAAACACCAGAGGTACTGCCACTTTGAGAGCTGATTGGTGGTCTCTTTCCTCTGCTTGTTTTGGGGCTAAGGGTGGGAGTTGAGATAGGATCTCTTGTGGCCAGGCTGGCCTTGAAATTGTCATGTAGTTGAGGCTGACCTGTAAACTCTACCTCCAAAGTGCTGGGATTACAGGTATGCATCATCATACCCAGCTGGTTTTAAACATTTTCACTTTCATTAGGAGGCATTAATTCCACTTCAAGAAGAATAAAACCTCTCTCTCCTCAAGACTTAACAACCTCCAACTGAAAAAGGAATTTTAAGTTAGTTAAATAGTATAACAGGAAGTCTCAATTCACTAACACAAATAGTTAAGAGTAACAAGTCAGCTAACTTGCTAACACAAGGCTGTCACAAAAGATGCAGGGAAACAAAGGTCAATTGAGTGCTCCAAAGATCCACCCACTGTGAAGATAAGGAAAGTGCTCATGGGCAAATTCCTTAAGAACGAGAACATTATTGAAACATCCATCTGTTCCTGTGATGTTTTAGCCTTCTCTGGAAAAACTCCCACCGAAGGTCCCAAGGACTTGCAAATTAAATTCTGCCAGGTGATGAGCTGGCTCAGATAAACATTCACACTGGGTCCCAAGGCCACAGAAACCAGGGACAGTTCTCGTGAGATCTGCTTACACACATTACAGATATTTGAAACAACCAATTGTGTGTGACTGTACTGCAACCCTCCCCCCCCTTTGCCTTTATTAACCCTAAGCTATGAGGTCTCAGTGTTGATTCCTCTGCCTCCTGCGTGAGGCACATATCGGCCCGAAGCTTTGATAATAAATCACCTGACTCATGTGATTGCAGCAAGACGGTCTCAGGAGTGTCTTTGGGGTCACCTCGTTTCTGGGTCTCCTCTTGGGGAATCTTTCACAACAAATAGCACAAATGTTCAGCACCTGATAAATGAATAAAAATGGGTTATAAATTAAGAAAAAAAGATAAAGATCACCTATGACAGTTAACCTCAGTCAACAACTTGATGAGCTCTAAAATCTTCAGGGAGATGGGAGACAAGCTCCAGAGGTGATCTTCATCATGTTAATTGATACTGGAAATCATGCCCACTGTGGGTGGTGCCATTCTCTGTGCAGGGGGTTTCCAGACTATAAAATAGGCAGGGCACCGAGAAGCAGCTTGTATTCATAGCTCTCTGCATTCTTGTTATGGATGGAATGTGACCTTGACCCCCTTAACCTTAGTTTGTGAATTAAAATAAAAGTATTTCCTCTTTAGGTGTTTCTTCTGTAGAGTATTCTGTCACTGAAGCTGGAGAGTTAGTTAGGACACAAGTGAACCACAAAACAGAAGACTCTCAGAATCATAGCATTAGATGAAAGACTCTGGATACAAGACCACCTCCTGCTAATTTCTTTTACACAAATCTTAGAGATGGCAAAACTAGTAGGTGGTGACAAAAAACAGGTTATTGGCTACCTGGAACTCTGATGGGACACAGTGAATGTCAGGGGAAACTCTTGGAGGTGACATTTCTACTTTTAATGGCAGCAGAGGCTATGGGAGTGTGCATGTTTACTAAAAGTCTTCTGACTGCACGGTCATCATAGCTACGTTTATTGTTATTGTTTTGTTTCTTTTTGACAGGATCTCACTCTGTAGTCCAGGCTAGTCTTGAGCTCAGATCCTCCCCCTTTGGCCCCCTGAATGGTGAGAAAACATCTGTACTTACCACACCTGGCTTATACATGCTTTTTATTGCTGGTGAGTTATAACCTCAATAAAGTTGGTTAAGCCTGAACAGGAAAATACAACTGAATAACGAAGTCTAAGGAAGGTAGGGTTACTAAGCCCCAGAAAGCTGGACAAAGCTATGAAGCAAACTGCACCAATGACTGTGTGCATGCAACGAGACGGAACACATCCCTGTGTAAAGGTCAGACAGATAAGAGAACAAACACATAAAATAAAAAATACCTCATTAAAAGACATGAGATGAAGTATTGAGGCTGGCTATTGTATTCCACAGGGGATAATGAAAAATTCCAGAATCCACTGAAAGCAATGGCTGCACTGAATGTACACTTGAACATGGTTTGAATGATCTGGGCATGGCGTTTCACACTTATGATCCCAGTACTCGAGAACCCAATTCAGGAGGATTGCCATGACTTTTAGGCTACCCTGGGCTATATAGGGACACTATTTAAAAAAAATAATAAGCAATAAAATTAATCAAAGAGGGGCTGTAACTATGGCTCAGTGGTCAAGAGCACTTGTTGCTCTTGCAGAAGACTGGGTTGAGTTCCCAACACCCAACCATCTGTAACTCCAGTTTTAGTGGATTAGATGCCCTCTTCTGATATCTGAGAGTACCAGGCATACACAAAATGTATGTAAAGCATTCATACACATAAGATAAAAAATGATGAATATTTTACATTAATTATATACAAAATAAAATAGATTAAATAGTAATTTTTCTTAAATAATGAATTTACTGGTATGTTTATTATAATAATAAATCCATATTTGCTAAACTCTCACAATATATAAATGGTTTTGGATGACCCCAGAGTGACTGGGGACCAGGATTATAGAGTGTATGGGGAGTATATACTCTTGACTCTTAGGTTTAGAGCCCTAGCAAACAGACCCTGCTCTGACACCCCTTTAGATCCTCTGGGAATCCAGTGAGCAGGATGGGAGAGGAGCTGGGCGTGGTGAGAAGCCACAGCTATACTCCTCAGAGCCATATTTTAACTAAACTCAGTCACACCACAGCTCTGTGCCTGCCTCTGTCCTAGCTGGGTCCTCCAGGCCAGGGATTCTAGTCCTTAGCTTAATGAAGTTCAAAGAAGGAAGTCTTAGGGCCAGCATTGCCTGGCGTGTACCCGCATCTCTGCCTTTCTCCACTAGAGGGCAGTAACACTCCACAGCATCACAGCTCCAAGTAGCTCTAGATGGTTGCTCCCAGAACAAAGGCCCATGCTCTGGGTAATATCCAATTCCCTGGACAAGTTCAAACTCAGATGCCCTCCCTGACATGGAGGAACTCCTAGGGTTCACTGGTCTCACACAGGCCCTCCCTTATAGGGAGCAAAAAGTGTTCTTAACTAACCTGTGGTTCTTGGGTACTTCCAGGGCCAATGTCTGCAGCCTTTCCTGGAGAGCAGTCTTTGGAAACAGCAGAACCCTTTGATAGGACAGTGGCCTATCTAGTCAGTGGAGACCAGGTGGCTGCTGGGTTCTGACCCCATTATTTGGAGGGGAACAAAGGTGTTTGTTCAGCCTGGTTTCCAGGTCTCCATGGAGGACCTGAGCCCACACTTCCTCTCTGTTTGTTCATGTGTTCAGTGAAGTAAACGTCTACCTTTTGTTCTCAGCTCCATGATGGACAAACAATGTTGTCTCCCTGCTTGATCCACCTAAATCCCTAGACCTGATTCCTGTAGCCCCAACCCTTCCTCCTCTTCCCAGGAAGCTGCCTTGGACAAACAGAGGGAGGGCCTTACAGTAGCAGTAAACCTGAAGGTGAGGCTTCCTGGCCCAGCCCAAATCCCCAGCCCTCTGTGCTTTCTCTTGGCTTCCTTTCCTGGGCTCCTGGGCTGCACTCCCATGGAACAACTTCCCACCCTGTACATCCCAGTATCCCATGAAGAATCTCAAGGCTGACCAAACTGAGCCGCTGTGACCACGATCAGGGCTAAAGCACTTGGTATCTCAGCTGTAAATAGGTACCATGGCAGTGCCAGTCTCAGGCCTTCCTGAAGGACTAAGGCTGTGTTGGGAATCCTGGCCAGTGTTCCACTGGCAGTGGGAGCTGCAAGGAGTAGCCCTGGAAAGTAGGGATGCAGAAGACGACAACTCAGCAGAAAGAAGGAGAGGGTTGTGTTCTTCAGATATAGTATCCAAAGGCAGCCATCCATCTGCCTTTGGCTCATCCCTCTTGGTGAAATCATCACAGACAGGACATGTGCCTGTGATTGCACATCTCATGCACTTGGGACAAACATGGGTCCCTTGGCTTGGGACCCTTGCTTTGCCTGAGTTTGTGGAAATCACCAAGTGTAACCCCATCTCTACTTCTTTTTTTTTTTTTTTTGTGGTTTTTTAAGAGACAGGGTTTCTCTGTGTAGTCCTGGCTGTCCTGGAACTCACTCTGTAGACCAGGCTGGCCTCGAACTCTCGAACTCAGAAATCCGCCTGCCTCTGCCTCCCAAGTGCTGGGATTAAAGGCGTGCGCCACCACCGCCCAGCCCATCTCTACTTCTTCAGCTCTAAATTCTTCCTATGCCAGGACCAGGTTCTCAACAACAGATCACTTTGACAGATGACACAAAATAAGACGCTTGTTTATTCAGGGACTGGGTGGGACAGAAGTGCAACAGCCTTAATGTCTGGATACACCTCCACATTCTTCCCAAAATTGAACCAAAGTCCCACTAAATGTATGGCTGGGTGGCACCAGGTTGTAAAAGGACAAGTCATGGGGCTCAGCCCAGGTAAGGAAGGAGCAGAGACCTAGCCTGGGGCAGGAGGAAAGGCCAGAGGGGGAAA